GGTGGGAGGCGTGGAGGCCGGTGTGGTGCGCTTCCTCGGGGAGACGAACTTCGCCAAGGGGGATTGGTGCGGCGTGGAGCTGGACAAGCCGCTGGGCAAGAACGATGGCGCCGTGGCCGGAACGAGGTGGGTCCTCCTGCCCCCCCAGACAGCCTGGGGCAATGCACGGTGCCCGGGAGGCGCTGAGGAGACTGCAGGCCACTTCACTTGGTTCTTAGGCGGGGCCACTTCCGGTGGCACTCGGGGACCCTGCAGGGATGTGGGGACAGCCTGGGGCTCCCACATGCAGCTGTGCTTGCCCGCAGGAACCCCCGGGCCTGCTGTCGCCCTTCAGATGCCGGGGAGGCTGCTTGGAATCGCCCTTGGTTTGCGCGGTGGGGGTGGGAGGCGTGCGAGGGAGTGTGTGTGTGAATGTATGAATGTGTGTGCTTCGGAGTGTGGATATGTATGTATGAGGGTGTGTGTATGTGAGCGTGTGAGTGTGGGGCTGTGAATGTTGGTGAGGGCATGAGCATGTGAGTGTTGGTGGGGGTGTGAGCATGTTTGTGAGGGAATGAGAGCGTGTCATTGTTGGTTTGAGAGCGTGCAAGTGTTGGTTGGGTGTGCGTGTGTGTGACTGGGGCTGTGGGAGTGTGGGAGTGTTTGTTGGGGTTTGAGTGTAAGTGTGTTTTTGTTGGGGTGTGAGTGTGAGTGTGGGACGTTGGGAGTGTGGGAGTGTTGGTTGGGGTGTGAGTGTGTGGGAGTGTGGGAATATCGGTTGGGGTGTGAGTGTGTGTGTTAGTTGGGGTGTGAGTGTGTGAGTGTGGGGCTGTGGGAGTGTTGGTTGGTGTGTGAGTGTGTAGGAGTGTGGGAATATCGGTTGGGGTGTGAGTGTGTGTGTTAGTTGGGATGTGAGTGTGTGAGTGTGGGGCTGTGGGAGTGTTGGTTGGGGTGTGAGTGTGTAGGAGTGTGGGAATATCGGTTGGGGTGTGAGTGTGTGTGTTAGTTGGGGTGTGAGTGTGTGAGTGTGGGGCTGTGGGAGGGTATGAGTGCTTGTTGGGGAGTGAGTGTGTGTGAGTTTGGGGCTGTGGAAATGTGGGTGTGTTTGTTGTGCTCTGAGTGTGTGTATGTTGGGGTGGGAGTGTGAGAGTGTGGGAGTGTTGGTTGGGTTGTGAGTGTGTGTGTTTCTTGGGGTGAGTGTGGGAGTGTTTATTGGGGTGAGAGTGTTTGGGAGTGTTGGTTGGGGTGTAAGTGTGTGTTAGTTGGGGTTTGAGTATGTGTGAGTGTGGGGCTGTGGGAGGGTATGAGTGTTTGTTGGGGAGTGAGTGTGTGTGAGTGTGGGGCTCTGGAAATGTGGGAGTGTTTGTTGGGGTGTGAGTGTGTGTATTTGTTGGGGTGGAAGTGTGAGAGTGTGGGAGTATTGTTTGCGATGTCAGTGTGTGTGTTCCTTGGGGTGAGTCTGGGAGTGTTTGTTGGGGTGTGAGTGTGTGTTGGTTGGGGTGTGAGTGTGTGGGAGTGTTGGTTGTGTGTGAATGGGTGTTTCTAGGGGAGTGAGTGTGTGCGAGTGTGGGGCGGCTGTGAGCATGTGGGAGTGTTTGTTGGGGTGTGAGTGTGTGTGTGTGTTGGGGTTTGAGTTTGTGGGAGTGTGGGAGTGTTGGTTTGGGTGTGAATGTGAGTGTTTGTTTTGGTGGAAGTGTGAGAGTGTGGGAGTGTTGGTTGCGATGTGAGTGTGTGTGTTTCTTCGGGTGAGTCTGGGAGTGTTTGTTGGGGAGTGAGTGTATGTGAGTGTGGGGCTGTGGAAATGTGGGAGTGTTGGTTGGGGTGCGAGTGTGTTTGTTGGGGTGAGTGGGAGTGTGAGAGTGTGGGAGTGTTTGTTGGGGTGTGAGTGTGTGTGAGTGTGGGGCTGTGGAAATGTGGGAGTCTTGGTTGGGGTGTGAGTGTGAGTGTGTGTTGGTTGGCGTGAGTGTGTGGGAGTGTTGGTTGGGGTGTGTGAGTGTGTGTGTTTGTTGGGGAGTGAGTGTATGTGAGTGTGGGGCTGTGGAAATGTGGGAGTCTTGGTTGGGGTGTGAGTGTGTTTGTTGGGGTGAGTGGGAGTGTGAGAGTGTGGGAGAGTTGGTTGGGGTGTGACTGTGTGGGAGTGTGGGGCTGTGGGAGCGTGTTAGTTTGTGGGGGTGTGAGACTGTGGGACTCAGTGGACTCCGCGGTCGGCGCCTGTCTCTCTTGCCAAAGGTGTCTTTTGTCCCCCCCTCCTCGTTGTCCGCAGGTACTTCCAGTGTCAGCCCAAGTACGGCTTGTTTGCTCCCATTCACAAAGTCACCAAGATCGGCTTCCCCTCCACGACGCCGGCCAAGGCCAAGGCGGCCCCCGCGAGGCGTGTGATGGCCACCACCCCCGCCAGCCTGAAGCGCCGCCCGTCGGCCTCCTCGCTCAGCTCCGTGAGCTCCGTGGCCTCATCCGTGAGCAGCAGGCCCAGCCACACGGGACTAGTAAGCAGCCCCCTCCCCGCCCTGTGCGATACTCAGGCCCCCACAGACTCCCAGGCCCCAGGGGCGAGAGGCGGAACAGGACCGGGTGGGCTGGGCAGCTCCGGGGGGCAGGCGAGTGGCTTCCCAGCCACCACCGGTGACAGGAGCAGGGATGGGCCTTTCCTCCGGTGCTCAGGGCTCGTCTCCGGCCCCAGGCTGCCAGCGATGAAGTGGGGAAGCTGAAGGGGGCGTCGGAGGGTCAGAGCAGGACCCAGGGACTCTGGGGAACGCTTGGCGCTTGGCGTTGCTTGTTTGCTCTCTCCGTCCCTCCCTGCTCCCTCCTGTCCCTCTGCACCCCTGTCGACACAGAGGGGCCTTGACTTCTGTCCATTGCGGGGCCGCAAGTCAAAGCTGGGGCCTCGTGGCTTCTCCCCTCACGTCTCTCTGAGTCCTAAACACTAAAGTGTGTCCGACTGTGCAAGGGTGTCCTGAGATATTGTCCACAGGGAAACGGGCCCACGATGGAGACGTGTCCCGGGGGGCTGGCTTTGCTGGGGGCTGCGCTTCCTGCCGCCCCCTCTGCTCCCTGCATTGACCCTCGATGCGGAAGAAGAGTGAGTGAGTGTGTGTGCAACGGAAGATACAAAACAGGTGACACGGGAACGGGAGCCAGGAGGCCGCGCGCCGTGGGCACAGGCCTGGGGCCAGTCCTGTCTCGCTCGACCACCACCAGGTTTCCCTGCCCTGCCTCCATCCTCACGTCCGACTCCTCCTTCCCCTCGCCTCGCCATTTAGGAGGGGAGCAGACTCAGAAGCCCCTCGCCTTCCCTCGCGAGCCAGCCCGTTTGTGGAATTCGGTTTTCTTTTTCTGCTTGACTGTGGGCCACACCCTGCAGTGCTTCAAGGGGCCGTTTGCAGTGCTGGGGTTGAGCCGGGGCCTCCCACATCCGAGCAAGAGCCCCACGCCTGAGCCGTATCTCCAGCCTCCCCCCGCTGTCTTGTTTTGTTCTGTTTTGGGGTCACACCTGGCAGAGCCCAGGGCTTTCTCCCGCCTCTGTGCTCGGGATTATTCCTGGCGGGCCTCCGGGATTGAGCCTGGGCAGCGCTGGGGCTTCGCTCTCCAGCTCTTTGGCCCCTGCCTTGCATATCTTTACGCAGGGTGGAGCTCACTCCTACACTGCACATCACCGTTAGCACATATGACAAGAATATAGAATGAGTCTGTGTGGCTTCATGGAAGTATACACCCACAACGTAATTCCATACGTGCACACACAAGCGTTCACACACACACAGGCACTCATACATGTACACGTAGTGCATACCGTATATACACAGGCTGATGGGTATATACACACAGGCACGTACCTGCATAGACAGAACGCGCGCACGCACACAGGTGTGTGTAGACATGCCCACAGGAACGTACGTGCACGCATACATACATGCACACAGGTCCGTGCGTGCCCTGGGGGAGCCTCCCGGTTCGCGTGTTGGCTGAGTTGCTCTTCTGAGGTACCAGGCTCCCACAGAGGGTCCGGCCTTGCTGGCATGGAGCCTGGGGCCTCACACACCATGCGCAGGGCAGAGGCTTTGGCATCAACATCCTGAGTTCAGCTCGTGGCCCCGACCTTGCCCAGCCCCTCAGCACCGCCTCCCCCCATACCAGGGGTGCTGCTTTCTCCCTGCTCCGGCGCCTGAACCTCGCAGTCTCGTCTCCACGGTTGGCTGAAAGAAGCCGTTCGCTCCCGTGCTTGTTTCCTCAGGGAGCTGTCTCGGGCCCAGGAAGCGCGTGCGTCCAGCCGGCCCCACCCGCTCAGGCCAGGAGGCTCGGGGAACACCGCCGCCCACCTTTCCTAGTTTATTTTTGCTCTTTGGTTTTGGGGCTCACCTGGCAGTGCTCAGGGACTCCAGGCGTGGTGCTTGGGGGCTGCTCCCGGTGGAGGGGGTTTGAGCCCAGGTCTTGGTGGAGACCCCCAAGGCTGTCAAGCTCTTCCCAGCCACCCCTTGAAATCAGAGTTGACTGCAGTTCCCGGCAGCACTGCACATGGCTGGGCCCGAGAGCTCGTGTGCTCCTAGAAATTTTATTTATTTATTATTTGGTTTTGGGGCCACACTCAGGGGTGCTCAGGGCTTATTCCTGGCTCTCTGCTCTTGGGGTCACTCCTGACAGTGCTGGATCTTGAACCTCTGAAAGCACCTTCCATCCCCCAAAAAAGAAATCTCTTTGGCCCTGGGGAGAGCATTTAATCTGACCAATATACTTTAAGTGTATTGGGGAGTCACGGCCAGATCCTTACGCAGAGGCAAGGATGACCCGCTCCCCGGACAGAACCAGGTAGCTCGAGAGTTCGCAGCAGGCAAAGCAGCAGTGGACAGCCTGGGCCCTGCTGGGCCTGTCAGTCAGCAGGCAATTGGCAGCAGCTCAGATGATGCAGGGAAGCGGCAAGAGCAGGGCGATGGGTCAGGCGTGGCCGGGCAGAAGGAGCAGACGTCCTCGGCCACCCCCGCCCCAGCGCCCGCCACCGTGTGCCTGAAGAATGAAGACCAGGTCCCGCTGTGTCCCCGCCTGCAGGGGCCGTTGTGCCGCAAGGAAACTGGTCTGCAGAGCGACCATGAGTGACCACGAGCCCAGGACAGAACGGACAGGACCCCCGGTCCCCGCGGCCCTCCAGCCCACTCCCCTCCCCTCCTCACTGTCTTTGCCTCTTCTCTCCTTCCCTTTGTGCTTGGTCTTCCCCTGAGCTGCCCTTGCTGTCCTGCTCGCTGGGCGTGAGCCCTCACACATGCTCACCCACCACTTGTTCCTTTTTTTCCTGGATTTTGGGCCACACCCCAGCAATGCTCAGGACTTCCTCCGGGCTCTGCACTCAGGAGTCACTCCTGGTGGGCTCGGGACCCTATGGGGTGGGTACCTGGGATCCAGTTCGGGCAGCGGCGTGCAAGGCCAGCGCCTTCCCCGCAACTTTACCATTCTAGCCTCTCATCCCCCCTTTTGAAGGCAGATGGCACAGGGGTCTTTTATGGGGTCACACCCAGTGACCCTCAGGGGCACGGGGCCATTCCCAGAGACAAGAGTCTCTGGTTACTGCTATTCAGGCCTGGGGCGGGTGCTGGGGAGAGCGAGGTGAGCTGAAAGGAAGAGGAAGAGAGAAGGGCCAGGCTGCCCTGGGAGACCCTGACGGACCTGCAAGGCTGAAGATGCTGGAGCCGGCCTCAAGCTCATGCCAAGGGCTCAGCCTTAAGGAAGCTCAGGCCAGAGCGGGCTGTGGAGGGGGCTGCCTCCGGCTCTGCAGAAGAGTCTCTGGATTCCCACGAGGCCCGAGGTCAGTGGAGCCCAGGTCCCGTCCAAGGACCTTCGGGAAGGTTTCAAGACGCTTCTGCTGAGAGTCGCTGGCCCATATGCACGGATGCAGCGCTGCTCCATCTGCTTTGCTGAGGATAGCCGTGTGCATGCCCGCGTCCGCCACCCCCACCCCCTTCACGTCTCTTTTTCCTTTGCAGTTGCCAGAAACCTCCTCTCGCTATGCCTGCAAGATCTCCAGCACAACCGCCCTCCAGGAGGTGCTGAAGGAGAAGCAGCAGCACATTGAGCAGCTGCTGGCCGAGCGAGACCTGGAGCGGGTGGAGGTGGCCAAGGCCACGAGCCATGTGGGGGAGATAGAGCAGGAGCTGGCCCTGGCTGGGACGGGCACGACCAGGTGACGTCTGTGCAGACGGCAGTGCCGGGGCCAAGAGACGCTTGCGGCAAATGCTGGGCGCGACCTTGGTGCAGGCGGTGCAGGGAGAGGCCGTGGGTCCCCGTCTGCCGTCGTTGCGGTGGCATCCGGCGCGTGGTTTGATCGCATGCACCTTCTGCTCACCCCGTGGGGGTTCAGGGAGCGCCGAGTTATCCCCGCTGGTGCTTTCGTGGTGTGGTTCCCCCCCCGGCCTTCCAGAAACGCTGCGGCTTAGGTGGGAGACGTGTTCAGCATGCCGCGGTGGCAGGTGGCGGTGCCAGCCCACAGAGGGCTGTCGGGGGTGGGCGAGGACACTCACGCGCAGTTGCCTCCACAGCACGTCCTGGAGCTGGAGGCCAAGATGGACGAGCTGCGGGCCATGCTGGAAGCGACCGACTGGGAGAAGGTGGAGCTGCTGAACCAGCTGGAGGAGGAGAAGAGGTGAGGCCGTGCCAGGAGCTGGGGGGCTGCCTCGGGTGGGGTGCTCCTGGCCTTCCAGGGCTGTGAGAACCACAAACTAGCGGGTGCCCAGTCCTGAGAGTGGCCTCATTGGGGGGGATGGGGGGAGCTCACTGGAGCCCAGCCACCCCCGGCCCTCCCTGCTGTGTCCACGTGGCCTGGTGTTCAGGAGACCTGTGCTGGGTGGCCGGGAACTGTCGTATCCCAGTGGGGCCCTGTGGGAGTCCCTGGGGTTAATCCTGGGCGGGAGGAAACCCGCAGCACCCATGGGGCACGGCAGCAGACAGGCAGGGCTCAGGCCAGGCTGCAGACAGACGGACACGGGGTGCCGGCCAAGACGGTCTTCTCAGATGGGCTCCCGGCAGTGTGGTGCCCAGGGGCACTGCCAGTGCCCGGCTCAGCCCCTCAGCTCCACATGCCGAACTCGCCACGTCCCCTGGGAGCCCCTCCTGCCCCCCCGCCCTGGCCCCGAGTCATTTGCTGCTTCTCCCCCAGGGGCTCAGTTGTTGTCCCGATGCGGGGACAGGCGCTGGCTGGGAGGGACTGGCATGCGCACCTGGTCAGTCTCTAACCACCTCTGTTAGCTGCGAGGCAGAAAAGGCTGATATGGCACTGCGCCTGGCGTTGGCTCGACAGAGCTTCCTCCTGTAGCCTGCGGGTACCACCCAGTGCTCACAGCCGAGGGGACTCGCTGACTTTGTTTTTTTTCTTTTTGGGTCAATCCAGCGATGCTCCCTGCCTCGGCACTCAGGAATTACTCCTGGCATTGCCCAGGGGACCATAATGGGATGCTGGGAATTGAACCCGGGACGGCCACGTGCCAAGACAAATGCCCTGTCCGCTGTACTCTCGCTCTGGCCCTCGCTGACTCTCTCAGCCCTCCTGTGTGTGGAGGCGGGGGCTGGGTCAGGCGCGCATCTAGAGGATGGTGGCCCTCATGGGGGGCAGCAGTGACGCCCCTCACAACTCTCCCTCTCCCCCACAGGAAAGTGGAGGACCTCCAGTTCCGAGTCGAAGAGGAGTCCATCACCAAAGGCGACCTGGAGGTAAAGCCCGGGCAGGTCCCAGAGGCTTGCAGGGTGCAGGCAAGGATGCGGGGTGGCCTGGCCGACCCCGCTGGGACCACTTCTGCTGGAGACTCAGAATCAGACAGGGATACCAGGGGTCATGCACCTGGCAGGGCCCGGCGGAGGCACCTCTGCTCCTTGGGGCCGGAGGCTGCTGTTGATGAGCGTTTTCCTCTCGTTCTGACAGTTGGGTCTACGCCTTTGCCTCAGCTTTGATTTTCAGTCGAGCAGCACAAATCAAATCCTTTAGAACCCCAGTTTATTGGAAGGTATTCCTTAAAACAAGAAAAAGCAAACAGTCAGTTTGCAAAAGAATAATTTCTATTTCTGCTTCTTTTCCTTCCTGTTTTAAGTTCATGGAAATTTTGTTTTCCCACCAGAAGGAGGTGAAGGCCCTGCAGGCGGCCTCCGAGAAGCTCGCCAAGGAGAACGAGGGGCTGAGAACTAAGCTGGACCATGCCAACGAGGAAAACACGGACGTGATCGCCCCGTGGAAGTCCAAGCTGGAGACGGCCATCGCCCCGCACCAACAGGCCATGGGCGAGCCGAAGGCGTCCGTGAGCCGGGGCGTGGGCGCCGAGGCGGCCGAGCTGGCCGAGCTCAAGATGCAGATGGAGAGGCTGCAGTTCGAGTACCAGCAGGAGGTAGAGAACTCGAAGGCCCAGCAGGTGGCTGAGCGTGCAGCGCACGCCTTTGAGCTGCAGACGCTCAGGTCGCGGCTGGTCAGGACAGCCCAGGAGCAGAAGAACAGCCTGGAGGCCGCGCGGGCCAAGCTCGACCAGACCGAGGACCAGCACCTGGTGGAGATGGAGGACGCCCTGAACAAGCTGCAGGAGGCCGAGACGAAGGTAACGCACCTGGAGGGGTTGCGGGCCATGTGTAGGCAGCAAGCCCAGGCCCTGGCCGACGCCACGGCGCAGCTGGAGGCCACCCAGCAGAAGCTCTTGCAGCTCGATGGGCTCCGAAAGGCCAGTTCCGAGGTCAATTGGGAATGGAGAAGCTCAGGCAGCAGCTCCAGGTGGCTGAGCAGCAGATTCAGGAGTTAGAGAATGCAAAGCGGGCCGAGAGTGGCAGGTTGGTACCCGGGTGCCCTCGCCCACTTCCACGCTCGCTCCCTGCATGCTGTGTGTCTGTCTGCTCGCCGCCGTGTTCCGGCTTGGTGCTGACAGGTCTCCCGGTCACGTCCCGTGCGGTTCCCTCTGATGGGACTGAGAACGTGTCGGCACGATTCTGGGACTGTCATTGGTCCCCAGCACCCAGATGCCGTGCAAGCCTTGGCCCCGGCTAATTGGGCCCGTCTGGGGTCTTTCTGAAACTGAGAACTCTTCACAAGGCCAGTGAGAAAACAAGATAGGAGCCCCCAAAGCAAACCTCTGCCCCCCCCCTTGGGCCCCCTGCGTACTCGCCGAGTCCGCCCAGACCCTTGGGCTCGAGTCTGGCCGCAGGGTTCTTTCCCTGACCTTGCTGACCACCTGCTCGTGTGACTGGCTTTGCCAACCTCTCCCCGAGGCGCCTCAGTTTCCAGCTGGTGCTCAATGCCTCTGAGCCTCTGAGCTCCCTCAGGGCTGGTGACGTGGCCCATCTTGGTATTTCTCATTGCCGGCCCCTCCCTGCCTGCAGCACAAGCCCCTGCCCAGCCCTGCAGAGATTTCATCCCTTTCAGCCTCTAAGGGGTGCTTGGGCCAAGTCCGCCTTCCAGCATGGCCTCCTGCTGGCCACGGACATGGACTCTCATGGTAGCCCTGACCCTGGGGAAGGACAAGACAGTGAGATCTGGGCCAAGCCGAGGAAGCTGCAGTTCTCACCCAGGAGCCCCTTGGAAAAATGCCCTTTAACTCCTATAGGATTGTGGTGGCAGGACGCACCCTCCCAGCCGCCCCCCACCGACCCCCATGGCGCTGTGCGCTTTGTTGAAGAAACTTCTCTGTTGGCCAAGATGGAAGGGCTGTGGGATTTGTAGACAGGACTGACAGACATAACAGAAGGACCCAGAGACCCCCGGGAGTTCCTCTCAGGACTCAGGACTCCTTAGCTGACATTCCAGAAACAAACAGAATCAATTCCTAGGACACAGCAGGGCATAGTTGAACCACTTGTTCGCATCAAGATGTAACAAACGTCACGTTCTGCTGTCTAGTGGATTAGAGGTTCTTCAATTTAAATTTCATATTGAAACCCCTCAAACTTTTAAAGTCACAGACAAGAAACTACAAGAAAGTAAATCTTGGGGGCCAGAGTGATAGTACAGTGGGAAGGGCATTTGCCTTGCACACGGCCTACGTGAGTTCGATCTCCAGCATCCCATAGGGTCACTGTCATTGTCA